GAGAGAGAGAATGAGAGACAGAGAGCATGAGAGGGAGGAGGGTCAGAGGGAGAAGCAGACTCCCCGCCGAGCAGGGAGCCTGATGCAGGACTCGATCCCGGGACTCCAGGATCATGACCCGAGCCGAAGGCAGTCACTTAACCAACTGAGCCACCCAGGCGCCCCCAGGGTCCTACATTATTAATTTGCAAATAAAATAAGAAATGAGAGGCAGCACGGGATTCAAGTCACAGTTGACTCAGATTGTAGCCATGTGACCCTTACAAAGGGCTATGTTGGAGTTTGGAGAAATCAGGCAGTGGAATGACTAGGAGATGGTCTTATACTCATACAGCATTGAGTCTGTAACTGCAGAACATTGAAATGGTCAACACATTCACTTCCTTTTCTCTTTGTTCTCTGCAGGGAAGGAGATTGGTGGGAAGCCCGCTCCTTGACAACTGGAGAGACTGGTTACATTCCCAGCAATTATGTGGCTCCAGTTGACTCTATCCAGGCAGAAGAGTATGTTTTGTTTTGTTGTTTTCACTCAACTACTTGCTTTTAAAAGTTAGCTGTCACAATAAAATGCCATTAACTTTGTGCTGGAGGGAGAAGAAATTCACTAGAGTGATTTCAGGGTTGAGAGAATGTGGTGATGCCCTTTTTCCCCAGGCATCGTGCTGTGGTTTTTGCCATATCTATGTAACACTTGTACTATTATTAACTTAATACTTTTCTTTACACCTGCTTTTTAAAAACATACTTATTTCAAAAGGGAACTTTATATCAGAACCCTAATGAAAACCCAGTATTACTTGCCATAGATAGAAACTGATCAGGAAAATGTGATGAAGTTCTGGCCAGAGCATATATTATTACTGTGAACCCAAAGTTCTAAGCCTATAGTCTGCTGAAAAAAAAAAGGAGAGAGAGGGAGGGAGAAAGAATGGGAGTAGGGAGGGAAAGAGAATGGTGGGAGGGGCCAAGGGGGCAAATAATTATTAAACATCAGCTTGACGTTTTCTTTCTCAGTGTAATCAGAAATATTAAGGGGGTACTGAAGACATACCTTCCATGCCCCACATAGAAGTATCTCACATACGGCATGTTCCACAACTCGGGAAATCCTCTGATGCATTTCAGATGCTCCTTTCCTTTGAGTTGGGGTCTTGGTTGGTTTCTTTGATAGTAAATTGTGACTAGCAGTTAGTTGGACCAAGGATTTCACTTGGTACCAGTTTGGGAAGATGGTCAGTAGGCTGAGGGGATTCTAGAACGGACAGCTACCATTCCTTCTCCTCACCTGTGGAGATTCATGGGCACTTCCAAAAGGGAGAACTATCAGAGTGGTTTGTGTGAGGGCCCTCATTTCTGAACTAAGGGAAAGAAAACTGGCCCATGACTCCCAGACTTGGGGACCTGTCCTCCTCCCTGACACCCTGGGGATCTGCCTCTTCTGGTAGTCTTGCCTTACCAGTAAGGGAGTCAAGGAAAGTCAGACACGAGGCCCAACCTTTGGCTCCGATATTGCATTTTGCCCTGGATTTGCTTAAGCACGGCAAGGAGGATTAGACAGCACACCCCAGCCAAATCCCCAACTGGATCACCGTCTTGCTTTAATTCCTTTATATTTGCTCTAAGAAGATCGCTTTTGTTCCCCCACTCTCAAATACTCAGTGCTTCTGCACTCCTTTTTTCTCCTAGTGAGTGTGTTTTATCATCAGAGAATAAAGGAATTTGTATTGAATTTTTATTTTATGGCAGATTTGCAAACATCTTTGTGTTCTTTCAGAATAAAAGGTACCACTAAAATGTGGCATTATTTTGATTTAACTGGGAACCTACAACTATATATTTAAGTTATATATATGTATAATGTAATAAATTTTTTAAATAATTTGTTTTTAAAGAATAAATTAGCGTTTTAAGAAGATAACGCATATGGTTTTACATAGGCAATTAATTTTTTAATTATCTGAAAATGCTATTGTTTTAGTTCCATCCATTGTTCTAACAGCTCTTTTTCCACCACTGTTCGCATTTATACTGCATTTTCATTGGGTGACTGATGCAAACCCAGAAAGTCATTTCTCATAAATAATTGTTGTGATTCTCTTTCTACCGCCTAGTGCTAAATTAGGATCATTACACAGTCCGGTGCCTTTAAAAGTCACTGAGGAGCTCGCTTGCAGCGTATCTTTTCTTATCTTCAGTGAGGCTCTTTCATTCACAAAAGAATTTGACAGTGAACACATAATAGCTATGTTCAAGTATAATGAATTAAAATTTCACTTTAGAAACTGAATCCTTTCACAGCTGAATATTCTAAAATTGTTTCTGGGCACAGATTCCGATGGGGTGCTCCTGAATTCTGCCTTGGATTCAGCACCTCGTGCAGAGACGTTAGCTAATTGCCGGGCCATGGTTAGGGCTGGAGAGTGGAAGGGAAGAGAAAAGATAAAGAGCAGAGGTTGTGAGGTGACTGGATGTGATGCCTTCTCACATGGCACCAGAGTGTCGTCACAAGGAGGATAGGAAACGTCTGCAACGCCAGTCATTTTGAAGGACGTGCTCGTTGACTGCGCCTAGTGACCTGTCCCTGCAGCTGTGCCGAGCGCACGTGCGCAGATGCGCACCCATCTGCTAAGGCAGCGCCTTTCATTTACCCAGGTCCTCACACCTGCTGGCCAGGAAGAGCATGGAGGCAAGCATCCAAGGGCAGCAGTCATCTCAATTCGGGGTAGTCTTGACAATTTTTTTCAAAGTTGCTATAGGTACAAAGTTACTGAAAATATCATGTCTTTGTTCTTTATCCATTCTGACTCTTTTTTTTAATGCTTGATTAATGATCTTTATATAGACTAAGGCTGTGTTTCATTATTTCCCAGGGGTTGTAATTATGCTCAGAAATCCCAGGGTCTTGTAGATGGGCATGGGAAGGGTCTCCTGCAGTTGCCATTTCAAAACAAGGTCTTAGATTTCTCTTTTTGTGAATGCAGGTGGCAGTTTTAACAGAAACCGGTTCTTGTCACCTCTGGAAGGGAAGGGAAATCGCCTACAATTCAAATCTGATTTTTTTTTTCTTCAAAGAGTGAAAGAGATGGAGTAGGGATGGAATCAGGAGCAGACTGAAAGGGAACTAGATGAGGCTAGGAAGACACGTACAGGGAAAGGCTACGGATATGATCAGGGGTGAGGAGGATGGCTATTACATTTTTGTAAATGACCCTTACAAAAGGCTTCCTTCCCTTGATCTCATTTAAAGGTGGTACTTTGGAAAACTTGGCCGAAAAGATGCTGAGCGACAGCTTTTGTCCTTTGGAAACCCGAGAGGTACCTTTCTTATCCGTGAAAGTGAAACCACCAAAGGTAAGATAAGGAGTTGAAGAACTTGGTTGTCATTCAGATCTGTGGATTAGTCAGAGGGGATGAAAGGCTTATCTCCAATGTACAAGGATTTTTAAATGGCACATATCCTCCCCACCTTGTGAGCAGAGTCCTATTTTCAGTTTTCCCTCCAGGCTCTAGAGTCCGAAAGGACTACAGAGGCTCAGAATCAAGCCTTCCTCCGGAAACAGGGGCCAGGCAGCTTCATTCCTGCAGGCAAGCAAGTTCATAGAATTTGCAGCCCGTCTTTAGAATTAGGACTTTCTACAACTTTTAGTTGCTCAGGCACCACTCCTACAGGTTGTTTTTGCATTCCTTTTGTTTTATGGAAACTGAGGACTGCTTTTCCTCCAGCCACTGGCCTTTCATTATTTAATTCATTATTCACATCTGAGAGCCCACAAGAGAAGCTGGGCCGAGGGAAAGGAGCAGCCGTGGCCTTCTAGCTCCGTCTACCAGGCGTGGTGATTTGCTCCTGAGACGGTGTTGCCAAGTAGAAACTGGAGGCTCCCTTCTAGAGAAACAGTCCTTACACTTGTTTCACACACACAGCCACTGCCCCTGCAACGCTCCATGGCCGGGAAGCTGAGGAGAGCGACCCCAGCGCGTTTCTTTTCATCCGCCCCCAGAGGACTTGGGTCTATACCGTATTGGGCAACACAGGGGTACTGAAGAGAGTATCGTAGGAAAAAATCCAGGAGGCTTTCATTCTCAAGGATAAAATCACTTAATTGCTAATACCTTCTGACATTTCAAGAAAGAGGTGTTTTCTTCTGTTACTGAGTGGAAGTGTGTGCGCGCGCAGATGCACGCATGCGTGGCTGTGCGTCCTCTTCATAATTATTAATCGGAATACTCAAGTAAATGAGACCCAAAAAACAAATGAGCTCTCCAAATGATTGGAGCTGCTAACGCTTTGCCTATTTACCAGGTGCCTATTCACTGTCAATCCGAGATTGGGATGATATGAAAGGAGACCACGTCAAACATTATAAAATTCGCAAACTTGACAATGGTGGATACTATATTACCACCCGGGCCCAGTTTGAAACACTTCAGCAGCTTGTACAACATTACTCAGGTAACCCTAATTCTAACTAACTACTAACCACTGGTACCCTGGAGGGAATGGGTAGGCACTGGGGGCGTGGGGGGGTGGGAGGGCTGCGGGGGGGGGGGCGCGGGGCGCGGAATACAAACATATATGAAGTCAGCAGTGACGGTTTTCTTTGCCGGTCACACAAGGTGGGGCTTGGCTGAATAGGTTCTATTGATGTCTTTCTACCAGAGTTATTATTCGTTCCATACGTTTGCCAAAAGACTCTATATAAACATTCTAGTTCCCAGGTACAAAGCAGTAAGTTAAATTGTAAATGTTGTCATCTTTTCCCCTGGGGTCTGTAATCAGAAACCGTGACAGGAGAGGGAGCCGTGTCTGGGAGGGAGCTCACGGGGGCTCCTGCTGGGGGCCCCCAGTTCACACTCAGCACTCACAGGAGTGGCTGCGCATACTTTTCATTCCCATGATCAGATGAATTTTGCAATCCATTTATCATGTTCTACTTCCCTACCCATCTAGTTTCCTAACTAGATGTAGACTATGTGACCCATAGCTCCTAGCTCGGTTACAGCTATTGTATTAAACTTAGAAACAGTCAGTAGATCAGTCTCTGTCCTAACCCCCAATGTCACGGTTAGTGTGTTGTTCCTAGAAATATATACTTACTAGGTGTTTAGGTATACAGTCTCTACATTTTAGTAAAGGATGTGGTCTTATATACAGGTGTCAAAATAATCATTTTCTTTCCAAGATTAGCAAGAGTATCCCACTATATAACATATACACACAGGTGGATTTTTATATAGATACATATGTACAGATATAGATCTATGTTCCATTAAACCCAGTAGTTTTTTTGTGATCTGTATATGTGTGTGTATACATATATATACACACATATACATATATATGTGCATACCCACATACACATATTTTATATTGTTCTTCAGGACAATAACAAAACCCCAAAATAGCACATGACTTGACCTCAACTATTGCTCTATGTACATTTGTTTAAAAAAAATGTGTGTATAATTTTTAGCACCAAAAAAAGCAATCTTTTGAAAATGGCAATAAGAAATGCCTATCGATTGATCCTGGGCACTAATGAAAAAGTGAAAAAATTAACAACACTTGGAGTACTCATTGATTAGGGAGTTGGGTAGCTTTAGGTTTACATGGATTCTAATGAAATACTTAGTAGAAATGAAGCAGACTATCTCCCTGAGCTTAAGCAACATCCCCAAAATGCCTGCATGTGTAAGGATTTTTCAAATGCCGAAATATATTTCATTATAGCCAAACATCAGCAGGATCTCCAGGGTTTGGATCATTTGAAAATATTGTGTTGGAAAGGGCACCTTAATAACATCGTAAAGCTGGAAGGAGAGGAGGGATATGAAGAGCAATAGATGTTTTTTCATCTTAAAAAAAAAAAATCCATCTCAAGGTAGATTTGTTTTTATATTGGCTTTTGCTCTTCCCTCTTTCTCTCTCCCACACAACAAAGTGCCTTTGAAATATTGACACATAAATAATTTCCTGCCTAAACATCTCAGAACCTGACTCTACCAAAAAGAAAGGAGTAAAAAGTAACTTAGAACTGGTTCCCAGAGAAAAGACAACAACACTACATATGATTTCCCGGGATCTGAAGGGCCCCCAGTGGGGTGTGGTGGGGCGGGGCTCTGTCCACCTCACAAGCCAGGCTCTCTCCAGCCTTTGTCACTGCCCTGATTCCTCGTGCTTTGTTACCTTTTCTTACCTGACAGATGTTTCACTTGGCATTCAGGCAATTCCGCCCCCCCCCTTCACCACTGCTAGATTCTAAAAGGTATATTCTTAAAAAAAAAAGAGAGAGAGAGAGAGAAGAAAAAATTCCAAATAACCCAATAGTGATAACTTTTTTCCTTTGTCTTTTTCATAGTAGATAGAGTGCTTTCACATCCTTGAGTTTCTGCAGATTTCAGTTTCCTTTCTTTCTGCTTTGAAACCAGATTTCTAAAGTATACATTGGAGACTGTTATAAAGATTTTTTTTTAATGGAAAATATCAAAGAAGCGAGAGTATATGACTGGTAGAATAGAGTCAGTTAAAATGCCAAAGAAATCCTAGAGAAATGTGACCTCTTTTTTCCCCTGCCAGGTATAATCTTCAGTCTTACTAGTTTATAACAGTCTAACATTCTATGGAAAAAAATCCTGTACTGAAGTTACAATTTTAAATATATTTAAAGCAAAGAAAGTCCCTAAACCCTTGATATTAGAGAGGGAGGGGACAGTCGTGCTGACATTCTGTAGTCCAAAGGTACCTTTTGAAATCAGTGGAGGTATTTTAGGGTTCCAGAGACATGATCCTAACATATTGGGCGGAAAATGTTTTTCTTCCTTAGTGAGTATAGAAACCAAAACAGCCGTACCTGTACCCGTATATTTGTGTAGCCTATATTATACCTGGAGGCACGGAGCAGTTCACATCTGAAATGTCCTCTGTCCTACCTCCAAGGAACATGTTTCAATGTGTGGTGTCTAATCTTCCAAGATATGTGCAGTTCTCTGCCGATGTAGCACTGTTTTGAGCAACGCTGTGCGCTCGCTGGGTTTGTGCGACTCTAAGTGTTGTCTCACGTGTTCTGCTTTTCTCTCCCTCTCCTGCTGCTGTCCCCACTCCATCAGAGAGAGCCGCAGGTCTCTGCTGCCGCCTAGTAGTTCCCTGTCATAAAGGGATGCCAAGGCTTACCGATCTGTCTGTCAAAACCAAAGATGTCTGGGAAATCCCTCGAGAATCCCTGCAGTTGATCAAGAGACTGGGAAATGGGCAGTTTGGGGAAGTATGGATGGGTATGCTGAGACTCAATTTTTCTATTACTAGCTCTCTCGTTTGGGAAGTCCCAAACATCAAAGATGGAAGGTGAAAAATAAAGACTTTATGACCCAGAAGAAGGTTTAAATTATTAATAGTGGGGAATTATACATTTGATTTGGATTTCAAAATTCTGGAATTTCCAAAAGAGAGATAGTGGTCAAGATTGGCAGATGGCTCAAATTATGCTATGATATGAGTTTCAATTCATAAGACAGAAAATAGTACAAGGAATGTTCCAGCCTGCACAAATGCCTTGCCTTTCATTTTCAAGTGCAGATGTTTGCCCAGTGAAATCAGTGTCTCCTTAAAGGGGAAGTCACCTTCCATCTTTCCTAGTGCATGCATAATTATGGATTATAAGGACTGTGTTTTCTTTATTAATTCCCTTTCCTGTAGAGAAAGCTGATGGTTTATGTTTTAACTTAACTCTGATTGCATCGAGTTGTACCCCACAAACTTCTGGATTGGCTAAAGATGCTTGGGAAGTTGCACGTGATTCATTGTTTCTGGAGAAGAAGCTGGGTCAGGGGTGTTTCGCTGAAGTGTGGCTTGGTAAGGCAGAGGGCACATTTCATTTTGGCTGCATTTCAAAGCCAATTAAAAAGACAGTTTGGGGCAAAAATACCCACACAGTTATTGGGACCAAGACATCTAACCTGGGTAGCTAGCTAGGCGCAGGACATCCAGATTTTGAGAACATGGCGATACTTTGCTGTACTTTTCCATCCTTCTTCATATGGTTAATGAAGGCAGGCTCACACAGAACAAGAAACCAATACAATAAGAATCCGTTGTTTCCTCTTCCTAAGGCCTAGGAAGGTAAGATATTATAGATGGGTTACTATAGGGAAAGACCATGTGCTCAATGGGCCTGGGTTTGAATCTTTACTAGCTGATTAACATGGGCAAGGGGCTAATTTAACCTCTTTGAGCCTTAGTTCCCTCATCTGTAAAATTGGAATGATACCTACTTTATAAGATTGAGGATTACATAGGACAATATACTTAGAGTCCCTGTGCATAGTAGATGCTCAGTAGACACTCCTTTTTCTCTTAATTTGGTTGTCATGTCGTTGATAAGGCTAACTGCACTGGGCCCCTCCCACTGCTTTTATAACACCCTTTGGGTCAGTTGCAGCTTTGCTTAGAGAAAATCCATGATTTTGGCCCCACCCAAACACATCTGTCAGTGAGACAGATGTTGGTGCTTATGGAATCCTCCTTCTTTCCTTCTTAGATTCAATTAAAAACAATAAAGATAGGTACTGTTGGTATGTGTAGTTGTAGGCGTTAGGGGTGGTCAGCATTAAAAGATTTAACACAGTTAAAGCACTTGGAACAGAACCTGGCAAGGAATAAGTATTACATAGATAGAGATATAGCAATAAGGTTAGAGATAGACACTCAGACATATACATTTATATGTGTATGTGTAAGCTACTATATAGTGAGTATATATAAATATCTTTATGGCCTTCCTCTCCCTCATTCACCCAATTTATAATTGAAGTTGTGGATGCCAAGGATTTTAATTCAATCACCTATACAGTCAGGAAGAATCAGACATTATACAAAAATTTCTTTTCAAACTTTATAATTATCAACTTTAAATCATTATGCCATATTATTAAGAATTTGTTTCCCACTGAACATAAAACATCATGTTATGGTAGTTCAGGATCAGGATGGAATGCCAGTGAGACTAACTGGGTTGTTATTAGAGAAGAAAATCTCTATTTAAAATTTTGGGATGCTAACAGTACTTAAATAGCAAAGACCACTTACAGATTGTCAGATTTTTCCATTTATGTTTAGTGGTCAGATATTTTATAAAGTTTGAATTAACTCTTCTTTAAGCCATTGTTCTTTCATAACTTAGATTTTTATAGGTTGCATTTTGTAATTATATGAACCATGTCTTGAACAGGGTGACAAAAGTTTACAGAATTTTTTAATTCTAAAATCAATTATATTAAATATAAAAATCTTAATTTAAACCAGTTTTCTTTTCTAAATAAAAAAGGCATAATCTAACTTAGCAGATTTTTCTGTTTCCCTTAGAGTTTTAAGTCAAAGTCATAAGACTAATAATGGAATACACATTGAACCTAGATTTTTTTTTTCTTAATCTTGGGGCTGAAAGAGATTCAAAAGATAATCCAGTTCCATTCCTATATTTTACAGATGAGGCAACCAATGATCATAAACCAGGCCTGTCTCTGTACCTACTCGATTTTAACATGTTATGCCTAAATATTTCTGTTCCCTCTTAGCTGCTGTTTAATTTTTTCACTCTTAACTGATAGAAGCTATTGTTCTTGTGGCTGATCATCAGTAAACCTGAGGAATTTTCCTTACCTGGTTGAAGTATGGGGCAAGTAGACCATGAGCTTCTTGCCAATGCTCATCAGCATACTTGTAATCTTACTTATATATCAGCTGTTCAAGGACTCAGTCAAGTAGCCCATCCACTGCAAACAGTTAAAGTCTAGAAGTAATCTCCAGACATCCTCAGTGTGTTGCCATGTTTTTTTAAATGATGGAACTTAATCGAGTTTCTTCCATGCTGACTCTGCTACCTAAGGGACAGCTATGGGATGGCCTGGCCTGTGCTAACCTTTGGACTTTCATCCTTGTAAAGAAGTATCCAGAGCTTTTGGTACCAATTTGTAATCACATGGGTGAGCACCAGAAAAGGAAAGTGGCACATATCAAAATAAAAGTTACAAGAATTATAAACCATAATATAGTGATAAGGAAACACATTTTTCCTATTGAAAATATTTGACAGAGTCCTTACATTTGATTGTCCTTGTTCAACAAAAAAAAAGATACTAAGTTTTTCTAAGTTAAACTCTAACTTTATGCAAGTAGCTATTGATTTAAAAGCTTTTTTTTTCCCATCAAAAGAGGATCTTGATTTGACTTAATATTGTGTGATGTGTGCAGGTACCTGGAATGGAAACACAAAAGTAGCCATAAAGACTCTTAAACCAGGCACAATGTCCCCGGAGTCATTCCTTGAGGAGGCACAGATCATGAAGAAGTTGAAACATGACAAGTTGGTCCAGCTCTACGCGGTGGTGTCTGAGGAGCCTATCTACATTGTCACTGAGTACATGAATAAAGGTTGGGCCCCACCTCACAGTTGACCCACAGGGTTGTTTTCAGGAGGGAAATGGCAGTGCTTGCTTGCTTTTTTCCTAATTTCTGCATGAGTCAAGGATTCCCATTGGGAAGCACAAACTGTGTGCTCATTAATGAGAACATTTTTAAAAAAGACCATGACCTTGAGCTTGCCGCCCAGATCCTTATGAAATGCAACACCTTCTGCACGTTGCATGTGTCAGGAGTCCCAGCTCCTGGCCATAATGAAAGCATTCATTTTTAATATCAGGGGTGGTGTGGAGAGCTATGATCATTTGCTATCATTTCAAATGCCATGGGCTAAATTTCCTTTTTCAGGGTTGAACAGTTAATATCAGACACAGGTCTCTGGGCTCAGTTTAGTCTCCATCTTCTCAGCACCTTTGTTTTTCCAGCTCTCTTCTTAAACATCAGATGAAGAAAGACATGCTTTTAAAGAGCACATTTTTTTAAGATTGATTTATTTATTTGAGAGAGAGAGTACAAGTTGGAGGGGCCGAGGGAGAAGGAGAGAGAGTCTCGAGCAGACTCCACGCTGAATGCAGAGCCTGATGCAGGGCTCAATCTCACGACCCTGAGATCATGACCTGAGCTGAAACCAAGAGTTGGACGCTCTACTGACTGTGCTACCCAGGCATCCCAAAGAGCACATTTTATTCTCATTCTCTCTCTTTCTAATCAAAGCATTATTGCCAGGAGTAAGGCCAGAGATCACTTTGTTTTGGAAAAATAGACAAAGCAAACAAGAAACAACTTTAAAAGGCACCAGAGGACACCCGTGTAATTTTTCCTTTCCACGTACTTTCTTTTTAAATCTATTTGGAATTCTTTTTCTCCTGGCAGGCTCTTTGTCCTTTGTATCCAGGGTTATATGGTAAATAACTTTGTGATTAAAGCATGAAAGCAATCACTAATGACCATTGTGAGCCTCCAGCCTCTGCTCATGATTGTTTCAGCTCTGGTGTCGGTCCTGAGCTCCTGAGGCTGGGTTGTCCCAGTGACTCTGAAGCTTCAGCTATTTATTTCAGATATCCTTAAGGTCTGGCAGGTGCTGATCTAGCAGGCGGAGCTACCTGCCCCACTCTATATTCCTCGAATATTCTTTCCTTGATTTAAAATCTATAAATAAGCGAGGCCAGTGATTCTCAAACTTTGCCAGGTGTCAGAATCACTCAGGGGGCTTCTTACAATACAGGTTTCTGGGCCCAGCCTCCAGAGTGTCTGATTCTGATTCTGATTCTTGGGTAGAACCCAAGAGTTTGCATTTCTAACAAATTCCCTGAGGGATGCTATCCCTGCTGGTCCCAGGAACACACTTCCGGAACCACGCGGCTGGGCAGCATCTTCCCCGCGTCACTCCTCCGTATGGGGCTGCTGGGGGATGAGGCTGAAATGGTGCAGCTCCCCACGTGTCCCCACGTGTCCTTCTTTGTGACATACAGGGAATCACATCCCATGTATTGCGACTTTATCAAACCTTTGCTGTCCTTAGAAATGGAGTCGCCATTGTTTGTTTCTGAAAGATAAAACTGCTGCCTCTCAATGCACAGTTTTTTCTACCCTCCTTTTTTTTTTTTTGTATAAATCTTTTCTTCACTGATGGCATTATTCATTCAATCACCTCATTACTTCTAATAAGAAAACCAAATACAGCCCTTTGTCAGGCATTTTTATCTTTCAGAGTAAATTGAAATGGTTTTATGTTTTGTTCACAGGAAGTCTACTTGATTTCTTAAAAGATGGGGAAGGAAGAGCTCTGAAATTACCAAACCTTGTGGATATGGCAGCACAGGTAGGCCACATGGCCCTTTGACTCCCGCCTCAGGTTTAGCGACGTGTAAGTACATCGAGTCATGGTGTGACATGTGTCCTGTTCCTCGGTTCCCACAGGTTGCTGCAGGAATGGCTTACATCGAGCGCATGAATTACATCCACAGGGATCTGCGATCAGCAAACATTCTAGTGGGGAATGGACTAATCTGCAAGATTGCTGACTTTGGATTGGCCAGATTGATCGAAGACAACGAGTACACAGCAAGGCAAGGTGGGCATTTAAATAGGATGGCTCTTGATCACATCCTTGAGAGCAGTCGCTTACTGCACGATCCTTCCTCTCTCCTTCCCTTCCCTTCCTCCAGAAAATATTTGAAATGGCATTCTTCGGCTGAGGTTTTTCTTCTTGATCTGGCAGGAATGTGATAGCTCTGCAGGTGGGAGACTATAGTGGGTTCAACAGATGGGCAAGATGTTACTTTTTGGTGAGTGAGTGTCCACCATTGTGGTCTTCCTGGCTTATGCTGCCCTCCTCACGTCCAGGCCTGGGACGCTTTGCCTTTGGGGAAAGAGGGCTTTAAAAGGCCAAAAGAGAAGTCAAATAATAGCTTGTCATTCCCTCAAAGTCTCAGCAGAGCACACAAACATGCTCATTGGAGAGTTTAATCAAGGAGTTATTTATAAAGGCAAGGGCGGAGTGAGGAAAACCAACACGGCATAGTGTGATATCCTAGAGCTAGTAACAGCCACCCACCGAGGCCAGAAGGGCAGTGGGGAGGGGGCTGCCACCAGAGCTAAGAACGAGAGGCCACATTTGGCAGAGAAAGACCAGGCATGGATCGGGCGATTCGTACCTGAGCTCAGCCTTCGGGCCTCCTCCAGATGTCCTGCCCAACCTGGCGGGAAGCCAAAAGTCAGAGGAGCCCACTGATGAGTCCAGCTGGGTCAGGAGCCGGGAGAAGAGCAGAAAAGGGATCTAGAAGAAGGATAGAAAATAACAGTGTCACCCGAGCAGCCCACCCCCTCTAAATCATCTCCCTCCATTCTCCCTCCGCCAGAGATTTGTAGAAATCAGGCTCTAGACTAAACACATCCCAAACCAGCAGCCACTCTGGTGGGGAGCTTTTTGGCTACTTTTAGAGCACTTGATGCCAGGGAGGGAATTCCCAGGGTTATCTTCTACCACCCTGGATCGTGCACAGTGGTAAGCAGGTAAGTGTGTGGAATGAAGTGTGCTGTTTGCGGTTGAACATAGGCTTCTCCTATAGAACGTAATGCTCGCGTCGGAAGGAGGGGGTAGGCTTCATGGCTGTTGTTTTTAAGCAAGCCTAGGCACTCTGAGCAGGGCTGAGTGCTGACTAGAATGCACTGCAGGACAGTGCTTTCTGCTCAATTTCACAGTGGCCACCCTGGAATTCCAATCCTTTCTTTCTTTTTATATTCTTTGATTTCACACCTGTTCTTCCGTCATCGTTCTCAGCGGTCTCAAGTGATGAGGAGCATGGTTAAATGAAGACCCTGGCTAGCGCAGATACCGTCCAGATGCTCAATCACATGTTGGTCAGACAGCTCGGCTCTTTGAATGTCCCCAACACGTGGCAGTTCTTGTCCTGGAGCCAAATGCCCGCACCGTGAGCATGCCCACACGCACACGCGCGCACATACACACACACGCTACTGCAGGGTCAGATGGCAGGCCGTGTCCCTAATCAAAGGAACACGGGCAGCTGCGATTGGCACTGGTTGTCCAGAAAGAAGTGTGGACGTGATTTTAAGTCAAGGCGAGCTGAGAGGGTCTGCAGTGTCACTGGGTCTGAGACCTGGCCCTAAATGAGAGCTCACCCCGCGGCAAACCCATTACATCCCAACTCACAGACCCAGAAGGAGGCGGAGCACGTAAAGGTTTGGAGACATGAGTATTTGATTCGGGAAGAGGTGAGATTGGAGTCAGTCTCAGCACTCGGTCGTGAAAGCGTCCTTGCATGCGTGAGTAGAGTCCTGGTGCCAGATGGGGCAGTCCAGGATTTGTCCCTCCCCTTCTCCCAGACTCTGGACTCTACACAACTTGTGGTTACAAATTCTGGCCTTGAACCATCCAGAAGGTTGCAGGGCAGAAACCAAGGATGTTGACAGGGGTGCTGCTGACAGGGCTGGAGGTTTAATCCATGGAGTGGGGTCTTCTGGCTGTGGCCCTGGATGCCTGATACCCAAGGGGAAGGCGTGTGAGAGCCCCTCACCAGTTTCCCTGACAGCACGCTTCTGCTATGGAGCATGGCCACGGTGGCCACCCTCAGCCCTGGCCATCACGTCCCACCCTCGTCCCCTGCCAGCTCTCCCCATCACCCTTCTGGTGGCTTCCTAACCCCCACCATCACTGTCCCACATGCTGTCCTAAAGCCTTTTGAAGGATCAGCTTCATACCCTTTGTACCATGTTTGCTTAACTTCCAAATAGAGCCCCACCCATCCCTCTTAAAATGCTTTTTGCTTCTCTCTTCCCTTTCACAAATACCTTCACATCCATGCCAGACATGGAAAGAGATAAGTAAGGAGAAGTAAATGACGTGGAGAACTGAACTTGGGGAAAAACAAAGGTTGTGGGGCTCCAGGATTTGCAAGGAGAATTAAAAAAATGGTCTCCTGCAGCAGAGGGAAAGGAAGGAGCTGGGGCGTTTGCAGGGTATCTGCCGAGAGCCAGGCCTGAGAGGGTAAATGTGAAGAGTGCGGAGGGAAATGATAGAAATCATTTCTATCTATTTCAATCACCCCTCAGAGGGGTTAAGTAAGTTGTACAAAGTCCCACAGCTAGTAAAAGGGCAGAGGCAGGATTTGAGTCTGGGTATGGCCAGCACTGTTGCTTCTGCTCTTATAAGCTGTACTGACTGCCTCTCAGCAAGACAGTCATTTAAAAGACAAAAACTAAAAACTAAGATTAGGCATGAGTCTCATTTTCCCTTTATTTTATGGGAACGTTTTTAAATGGGGGGCTTCTAACGTGCATGTGTGAGGGAGTTTGAAAGAGCTTCATATTCCAGCTCTGGGACAACCCAGCTGTTTGTAAAATTCCTCCCGAGGGTCTGGCCTGCCCCGGCCTCTTCATGAGGCAGAAAGAACCTGGTGTGTATCTGTTAGTGTACTCTGCAGATGGCATGCGTGTTGCATGCTAAAGTTTCTGCTGGGGATTAATCAGCTCCTCCAGACAGCTGGTCCATGTGCCTGATCATATTTACAAGTCGGGTTTTATGATACCCACAGGCCACGACCAGGATAAATCTTGATTATGGAAGTGTGGGCAGTGTTCAGAAGCAAGTGCCAAACACAGGTATTTGGGGACTGTGAGGGACAGTTGTTTTTCAACACAGTTGTGGGTTTCCCATCTAAGGGCACACTGAAATGTCTGTCACCATACCCCCTGCCCCGGGTGGATGTGGTGACATTTCCCAGGGCACAAGTAGAATTGAAATTTGGACACGTGTTAAACAGCCCTTCCTGTGTTCCTTTCCTCCTACCACTCCCTACCCCGCTGGACTGTAAGCAGAAGCCCATGTCAGGGAGAAGGTCAAGACCAGGGTCAGAGCCTGCAAGGGTGGCCCTCTGCCAACAGCCTTCTGGAGGCAACCCGAAATGATTTGGTATTGCTCTCTAGTACCTGTATGCTCCCTCCATTGCAGCTGATCTTCTGTAGTCAAAAATACATTGCTAAATTCTGTCCAATCAGGGTCTCTGAGTAATGCCAGCATTAATTATTTGAATGCCTTGTCTGGGAAAGGGACTTTGCTAAGAGCTACTGATCTAGGGAAGCCTGAGACTGCACCGGGGAGGTCTGCAAGTGTGCAGAGAGACATACAGGAGCGGCGCCGAAGCCACATAAAACCATCACCTGGGGCCTTGGCCAAGTTAGTTAATTTTTCCACACCTCAGTTTGCTTATCTGTAAAGTGAAGATATATTTTACCTGCTTTGTGCTTTAATTTTTGCCAAGATAACTAAAAACAGTACATGTAAAGTGTTTAGCATGTGCCCAGAACATGGCAGGTGGTAAATTAATACTCCTGTTATTATGTCCTGTACAAGACAGTCCTTGGGGAATAAACACAGGCAAGAGTGGACGGTAGACACAATGGAAAGGCTCAAACACTGTGCGAGAGGAAGCAAAGATAATTCCCAGGTAGTCAAATGCAAGTATCATGAGAATGGAATTGCCAGCAACAGAAATGAGGGAGTCCAAAAGGAAGAGCTCATTTTCAGAGAAAGGGTGAGTTTGGCTTTGGGTTTGCTGCGCTTGAGGTGGTTGTGGTGGTATGTCCCAGTGCAGTGACCAAGTCTTCCCGGGTTACCACTGCCGTGGGTGCTCCCCTCCCAGCGCCTCCCTCCACTCCTCCCCTCTCCGCTCACACTGGCCTCTCACCCCCACCTGCACCGTCGCCTGAGGTCCACCCTCAGCCACCTCCCTACCCCAGCATCAGCAGAGCTAGCCCCAGCCCCGCCTGTGCCGCGGGCACCCGAGGCTCCACTGTCTGTCTGTCCTCGCACGTCCACACCTTGCCTCCTCCCATAACCACCAGCATGGGCAGCTGTCACCAGGCCTTGCTTTCAAAGACTCCCAGCCCCTCCAACCATCAGTTCCTTCAAAGCTCACACAAACAGACAGGAAGCAGTGGGAAAATCCTTGATCGGCTCCATTTTCTTCTTCGTAAGCTTTCAGGAAGCTCAACGCTGACTAGTTTTGATTTAAACCTTAAGCCAAAGACTTGGCTTGTGGATAAGAACGACTTGCTTTTGTGGCCACTTATTTTTTATTGAGCCATAACATACATACAATAAAATGAGTAAATCTGAAGTCTACAACTCAGTAAGTTTTTACACATTCGTCCGCCCCTGAAACCACCTGCAGGTGAAGACACAGAACACCGCCAGCACCCCAGAAGCCCACCTCGTGCCCCATCCAGCAGGTAGCCGCTGTGCCCGCCTCTGTCAGCAGGGATTCCTCCACTGGTGATGGAACTTCACATAAACCAGGCGTAGAGTCTTCCTCCCCCATGTCTGGCTTCTTTCCCACCATTATGTCTGTGAGGTTCATCCATGTTGCTGCACGTACCAGTTCTTTCCCTTTTATGGCTGAGCCATATTCCCCTCTACAAATACATCAGTTTCCCTCTTCTACTGGTATTTCTGATTTGGGGCCATTATGAATGAGGCTGCCATGGTGGTAGACAGAGGTCCTCCTATTTCTTGGATATATGCCAGGAATAAAACTGTTAGGGACGCCTGGGTGGCACAGTCGGTTAAGCATCCGACTCTTGGGTTCAGCTCAGGTCATGATCTCAGGGTCACGAGATAGAGCCCCTTGTGGGACTCCATGCTCAGCACAGAATTTACTTGAGATTCTCTCTCCCTCTCGCTCTGCCCCTTCCACTCATGCTTGCTCCCTCTCTCAAATAAATAAATAAATCTAAAAAAAAAAAAAACAACCGTTAGTCCTACAAGCCTAGTTAGCATTTGTAGATACTGCCCAGCGGACTTTGCGAGCTTATCTTTTAGGGTCTAATACAGGGTTACTGTGTTATGTGCTGGCGGTGTACTTCCTTCCAGGCTGCAGATGGGGCCTAGGATTCAAAGTTACACGGCCTGGGTTTGAACTCACTCAATTACAGATCACTTGACCTTTGTGAGCCTCGGTTTTAGCATCTGTGAAATGGAGAAATGAAAACAATTACCTCACATAATTAGTACAGGACTACATGATGTGTCTATAAAAGCTCTTCAAGGGTTGTGAAATATAAAAACCATTCTTACGACCTGAACTTTTTGTGTTTGATGTATATCGTCCTTGAAAAGTATCTTTCTTTCTTACCTAAAAAAAAGCCTGAAGAATCAATCTTTTAAGAGGAAAAAAAAATTAGTTGATTATTTTCCAGCCTGCTCTGTTTGTCTGGGCAGTCACAGCTCTGTATTCCCTTCCTGCCCTGAGGGCCCCA